CGAATCACAGTTCATGTATGTACAACTTCAGTACGTAGTACTACATTTACGAATCACTAGTCACGTGAGTAAAGCTACGCTGCCAGTGGCAATTATGGGTTTGCCCCCCCCCCCCCCCAAAAAAAAAAAAAGTCATATTCTGTCGCCTTATTACGATGAGTGAACAGGGGGCTGTGCTGAAAGAGGAAGATATCTTGACTAGAAACTGAAAATTAGGAGCAAGCCTTCTAAATATAGAATAAAAACCTTCTGAATGAATATAATGATCTGTTACGATAAAAACAGTGTAATGAAATAATGACTGGAATCCTGGATAAGTAAATAAATTGGATTATGAAATGCACTGCTTCTGGTTTGCGTTGACAATGATATAAAAATTCTAAGCAGTTGTAAATGTCACAGTAGAAGTGTACATGCAAAATCTTTGCCTACAGGTCAAGTAAGGGATTTACAAATATGATATTTGCAATTCATTTTTTTTTTTTTACGGACGTTTACTTTAGACGTAAATCTACTTCCATACTTCTCCTGTACTGTCTCAACTTAAATCCTAAGTTAGGGGAAATTTTGGATTCTGTTAAATAATATGATAAACAGACAATAGCACAGCTATTTGAAAGATTTGCCAGGTAAAATATTGTGGAAATAACAGTAACATGTGCATGCATCTTTCCTGACACCCAGAGCCAGATCAAGGCATAGGCAAACTAGGCAGCTATCTAGGGCTCGACTGGCATGAAGTGGCCCAGACAAAGTCATGATCAAATATATACCTAGTATACAGATAGCGAATCTTGACTTGATTTGGCTCTAGCTATAGACAGAACAGGCAGTTGCTTAGTTACTTGCTGCTGAACTGCCTGCGTTGCTAGAGTCAGGCAAGTTTCCCAATGCCCAGGAGATGTCACTGCTCATTCACTCTTTGATCTGAGAGTACACTACACTCATAGTAAGCATTGTTTTTTATATTTTTTGTTTTTGTTGCAGTGCTACAAAAACAATTGCCCTCTGGGGACAACTAAGTTGAAAGTTGAGGCTGATTTAGATGTCAAGGTAAATAAAAACAGATCTAAATACAAAACCATTCTTGGTGATCATGGTCATCCTATTTTGATGCAGTTTTGTCTTGATGAGACTGCTGCCTTCTGAAATATACTATAACCATTCCAACTTCAACTTCAGCTAGACCCCCCCTTACCCCTTTGGGGTGGTGTGTGGCTCAGTGGGCTAAGTCTCTATGCATGTGATCAGAAGGTCACGGGTTCAAGCCTTAGTAGAATAATCACATGTCTGTGGGCCCGTAAGCAAGGCCCTTTACCCACAGTTGGACAATGAGATGGGGTAGATAAAAGAGATGAATAGTCTATCACTATTCTATTCTAAACAAGCAGACCACACACAGGGAGCCAAAGGCAGGCCTGAACCCAAAACACTGGCAGTATAAGGCTACAGTGACAACCACTGAGTCACCAGACCACATCAGAGCTTTTGAACTAAGAAAACTGGTATCAAAAAAAGTAACACAATCATTGCAAAACTGCTCCAGTACATTTCTGTCGAGCTCAGTGTGGTTAAATGCATGAGATACAATAACTACAGATTGACATTTCAATAAAGCCCTTAAAAATGAAGTCTGTACTGTTCTCTCTGTTGAGGTCTGGAAAGCGATTCTGCTCCCTGAAGACCAATACAGAAAGACTGAGGAGGAGCCTCTTCCCGCAGGCTATTCGGTCTCTAAATCAGTACACCACACAGTACTGGTCCGTTTTGCACATCCACACGTTTCTTGCACTGACTCTACACATTCGGGACATTCATTGACACTAGTGGTCACTGCACACCTGCACATTTGTGGACATTAGCTATTTATTCTATTTTATTCTGTTTCCCTGATGCACATAAGTCACTTTAAATATGACACTTTCAGGCATATTTGCACACCCCCTGGACATTTCTATTTATATTCACTTCATTCCCACACAAAAATTCCATAAATTCTATATTGAACAGCTAGGTTATTCTTATTTATTTCTTATATTGTATATTTTGTATTGTACAGATATTATTATTAGTTAAATTTACTTTCTATTTTCTTTTTCATATTTATTTCCTATTAATAGTCTTTTATTTTAAGGTCACGGGCAGTCGTCTAAGCATTTCACTGCATATCATACTGTCTATGACTGTGTTTGTGACAAATAAACATTTGAATTTTTTTTTTTTAGTGCCCAGAAACATAAAGCCACATAATGTTTACAAACAGATTTCAGTTTGTGTTCTTTCCGCATTCTCAACCATATCCATAACAGCACTGAAGATTAAAAACATATTTTAAAAAAAAAGACATTTCATGTAAGCTAACCTCCATTTGGCTTTGGGGTTTCTGATCTTTCAGTATTCTCAGATACATCCATGACAGCACTGGATTTTAAAATGATTAATTTCTTAATAATCAGATGTTTTCCTTTCCAGTATTTTTCCTCTACTTGCAGTGCAGTATACCATACATCAGATGCATGTTTTAATGTTTCCAGTTGGAAAAGATATTTCATGTAAGCCATCCACCATTCGGCTTTGCATTGGTGTGGATTAGCAGTCCTTACGCAAGAACGATGAAGACTGACAGTCAGAACACAGACAGGTCAGGCTGTTTACCCTGGCTGACTTAGACTTTGTTGGTGTTTAATGCGGATTCCCTAAAAGACAAACACAAAGCCTACATGCTGGGCTGAGTGAAAAGCTGACACGTTAAGCAGGGATGATCCCTTAGGTGCCATAGCAGCAAAGTTTTACTTATCAATAATAAACAAATGCACATATTTGTACCAGCAATTCAGGGGGGTATTCCAGAAAGCAGGTTATGTGACATACCCGGGTAAGTTTAAGGGTAAGTTAGTGGATAACCTCAACTTTCGGTTCCAAAAACGGAGGTTAACTTTCTGGGTATGTACGTAACCATAGCAGCTTACTCTCTGAAGATAACCTGCTACTGAGCAGGTTATGTTCCAGGGTCAATTTGTTGCAGAAGGTTACTGAGCATGGCGTGCCCTTTTGATGACGATCGATTGGTGCCCTTTTGTTGTGAACGTGGAGGCATAAATTATACAAGGTTTTTTTTGCCGGGAGAGAGTTATAAGACCGCGTATTGATGTC